TCCCAAGAAGAAATTGTCTTAGGTATGCGTGAACCAGGTTATCGTTTTTTTTTTTTTTTTTTTTCTGTAGTAAACTGCCAATCAATTATTTATTTCTATGTACCGTGATCCCCTGCTGTATTACGGCCTTATTTTTAAGAGATACATTTTTTAACTCCATTCCAGCTGTTTTCCAAGCAGAGTTCAATGTATCGACAAGACATTTTCCAGCATTTTAACTCATTCACTCCCAAAGACGTTTTTAAACGTCTTTTCAGACTTGGTCTAGAATTGGGTGGTACTGAATTAACTGATCTTCCATGATCCACAAAATATTGTGTTCTGTGACAATGCAAGCACCGGCGCACCACCAAAAGAACAAAAGAACAGGAGATTGTTCTCATTTATACTCAACAGCCAGTACTTTCCGTAAACAGTTGCAGTTCATCTCGACACTTTTCTTTTCATCATCTTTGTTGACAAGTCGATGTCACCGTTGTGCAACGTTTCCTCCACTCGATGATGGCTTTCTATCTTCAGTGTGTTCCATGGTATATTTAACACCTGGGAAATCTTTTTGTACCCAGCTCCTCACTGATGAAGATGTGTCTGCCCACCCCAAAAGTCTGGAAAAGCCTACTAGAACATCTGAACTTGATTTGGGGTTAATCAGAGGCACTTGAAATGGTGACAGGTGTTTGCTGACCCCCTTTTAACGCAACTTTGAATGTGTTTCTGAACGCAGCCACATCCCCCAGTTTTGTGTGTGTGAGAGATCACATGAGGGAGGACACTAGGACAGAATGCCAATGTGAAGGATTAGTAGAGAGAGTGAGTGGAGCAGCAGGGCAACTGGTGTCAAGACCACCCAGTGAGCTTCACCCCCCACACGGCGCTAAAAATCCTCACACACGCTACAACTTAAATAATGAATATTATGAAATTTACACTTAGTGAACTGAGTGTTATTGTCGCAATGAATGCACTTTTTTTTTTTTGCATTGGCTATCATTAGATTGTGCAAGTGGACCTCGTTTTTTTTTTTTTTTTTACATTTTTTTTTTTTATGTTGTTTATTACCGACCTGCTGACAGGCAAGCAGCGATAAACAAACCACCTGTGGACAAAGAAATTAAAATTTTCCGTGCTGTGTTTGTATGCCGGACCCCCGCGTGTGGGTGCATGTATCATCATCCTCGTTTTGTGTGTGTGTGTGTGTGTGTGTGTGTGTGTGTGTGTGTGTGTGTGTGTGTGTGTGTGTGTGTGTGTGTGTGTGTGGAACAAACGTGTCGTGTTTGTGAGGTGTATCACACACATCCATACGCACACATATAAAATGGCAGATTGGAACACAAAAGTAAGGCTTACATCTGCCACTCGCACGAGACGCGTCAAAAGTTGGGTGTGACAATTTTTGCCCAGGGAAATTCTGATGTCATCGAGGGCCATCACTCTCGATCCGCCAGGACAAATTTGAAATCTGATTGCTTCAAGAATCAAGAATAGAGTTGAAGTAACATAGGGCAGCACCAGAGACGGTCACGTTACGCTGTTTTGCCGGGCCGTCCTCCATCCTCTGTCTATGACCTGGGTACCCTTCCGTCATCATCTCTGTCCTCATTCATATAACAATCCATCCCCGTCCTTCCTCGTCCTTTTAAACCACTACCGTCCCCCCCAAAAAAAAACAACGTCCGTCCGTGCATGACAATTTGGGAGAGAGGCTAACAGCAGAGGCAGAGCCGAGCCCAGCCTTAAGGGGGCACATGAACTGCATGGGGGATGGGATTAACTCATTCACTCCCAAAGACGTTTTTAAACGTCTTTTCAGACTTGGTCTAGAATTGGCTGGTACTGAATGAGTTTTAATTCATCTTATGTCACTTCACGAGAGAAACGCGTCGACTCTTGCATGCAAACACGAACATATTCATCGCTTATACGCCTGCATCCCGAACCTTATTTTCAATAACACCGTGATTGGCTGTTGCAGATAAGACTCGCCATCAATCAAACAAAAATGACATCACTGTTTCTTTATATTTTGAATGTCAAAATTACTATTTCACGCGACAAAACTAGCTACAATGATGAAATAATAATAAAAACGTTACTTTTAGATATCCGTGCCTCAAATGGTGGGCGGGCACGAGAAACAAAACAACCAGCTTTCTTAACCAGCTGTATTGATCGTTCGAGAAATGGGTATCCGTAGGTACTTTATGTTCTTTGACTGTACGCTAGGTGGCAGTGTTTCTATAAAAATACTGTTGAGATGAAAAAGGAAGGAAAGGAGTTCTGTCATGGCGACTGATTTGTACCAACTAGTGTTGTGCTATTAATAGCCTGTTCAGAAAATACAGTGTTTGGCTCCATGCTGGCCTTGTTATTTTGCCTCTTGACACCACAATTCGGGACGATTCAAGAGACGGACAAAAACCCACTTCCGGCCTTGCTTAATTCGTCCTTTTTAAATTAAAAAAAAAACCTTCTCGTACTCCGTCCGCCGTTCTCAAAATGGGTCCCAGAGAATGACCAACTCTGGCCAGGACCTCCCATTGTGAGGGCAACACATTGAAGCTGGAATCTGATTCGACAAAAAAAAAAAAGAAAATGATCTCGCATCCACATGTACAGGAAGCAGTCAAGAGAAACTATAAGAAATGGAACAAAGAGTCAGAAAACGATTTCATGCAATTCATGTTGTAAGTTGGATCAAATGTTTTTTTTTTCTCTTTGCCATCTGCTGGGCGGCACCAGTGGCACAATGATCCAACCAGTTCCGGATCCTTCCACATATTGGGGCAACACAAGCGAGCCATTCTGTGCTTCATTTTCGGCTCAACTGCCCATTGGCCTTCTTGATTCTCACGGAGCTCCAATGTGCTTTTTTTTTTGTGTGTGTTGGAGTGAACTTTGACCCGTCTTCAGATATCCAGATCAATACAACAAAAGTCATCCGATTCCAAATTCCGTTCGGCAGTCTCTTCAAATCAGCTGATTGTAACTAATGGGCCTGACTTTCTTTATTACGCTGTCGTTTTATTTTTGCTCCGTCTCTGTCTCTCCTTCGTTTCCCCCCCCCCCCCCTTGAGCCGCCTTCTGGGAAAACCTCCAGCGTGAGCGCGCGCATGTGCGTTTGTGTACATTTCGGCTGCTGCGGCGGCGCACTGAAACAATGATGTTTGCACACGCTGTCAAGACTCTTTGCCTCAGTCTCGCTAAGTGACGGATGGCTTCGCGTCGGACCTAAACCTAAGTAGATTACGCTTACGGGATCTGTATCCTGATGCTCCTCTTTCTTCCGTGGGCGTGAGTGCGTGTGTGTGTGTGTGTGTGTTTACGTCATTAACACACAAAAGCTTGTGCGATTCACCTGCGTTTGGACCAGAAACCGTATCGAAATGGAGCACAGCGTCCACTTCATGTGGGCTACATTTTAAAATGGCCGCCGTTCCATGCAGAGTATAGTATTCCCCCTATATCACATTTTGTAAAGCTGTCAGTTCTTTCACAGTACTTCCTGTAATGCCCCCACATGTGGGAAAGAAGAGCCACAGTCACCGATGCACCCGGTTCATGTCTGGAGAACGATAAAACATGAACATGCGCGGGAGCTGCTGTCACCCACAGCTCATACCCAGACACTCACATGCATATGATGTCACAGGCCACCCCACTAGGCCCCGCCTCTTAAAGGCAGATGCACTACGACACGCACCATATATTGTACATATTTCGCCTTTCCTCGTCTTGGGTAAAGTGCGGCAACTTTCCTGTGAAATGTGTGAAAACTGTTTCTCAAGTGCCTCCTCGCCTTGTTCCTGGCGACATCAGGACAGCAGGCTTGAAGTGACTTAAAGCCGGTGTGGCATTTTCAGCTAATTAGTTGTGGCCGGGTGCCTAATGTGGGGCTGTTCACCACTCCACACGCAAAGCGACAGACGCTGCAATCACACACACAGAGAAAAAGATTCACGTGTGCAACAACAAACTAATCTTTTTGGAATCATAATCTATGTATAAAGACAGGACAAGACAGTAATAATCTGCATGCAGACAAAACAAAGCTTTCCAACATATTTTCCATCAATTGGAATCCAAACGATCACTGGCACCGACCGATGTATCCATTTGTCCGCTATGTTCTTCAGCGGTTAGCTTGTCTGTGAATTTCAAGTTTGTAAGCCACTGGAATGGATTCCTCTAGAGGGCAATGTTGCATCGCTTTGGGTGTGAGATCAACACCGCTTTTGAGTAGAAGATAACGATTCGGTGGTGATGCTCGGCTAATGAAGTTGAAACGATGAAGGCAACCGGCACTCCAGGAGTGCACGTATATGTAAGGTATAAATAGTACTGTGTGTGTTGCAGTAGAAAGTGTGTGTTGCGCTCATGAGAAAATTCATGGCGTGAAAAGTGAATGCCATGTCATGTTGACTTCAAGATGGCGCCGCGAGAGTGGCTGCCTTTCCAGCAGCTCCTCTATTTTGTTCCTATACTTCCTTTCATAACTTTGCTGCTGTGAATTGGGAATTTCTCCATTGCGAGACTAATAAAGGTATTCTTATCTTATGTTAAAAAAAAAAAAAAACCTAATGTCAATGTGTTTCTGAGTTGGATATCTGCAAATTTTCAATTTACCATCAAAAGGCCTTTCTAATGTTTTTGTTTTTTATTTGGTGTTGCAAAAGCAAAGTCTGGGTTCTGTTTCTGTTCACAAAAAGACTAATTTTGTCAATTTTTGGTGAAACCTATGTTCTACTGGTGATTGTGTACTAAAGCGAGAAGCAACCTTATTTTTCCTCCGGTGAAAGAGGCGACTTCCTTTTGGTACTTATTTTGTCAGAGAACACAATATTGTGTGGGTCTTGAAAGTTCAATGACGATGCATTAAAAAAAAAAAAGAAATTTGAATCATTAAAACTCCGCTTTTGCAAACTGCTAGCAGTCAACAAGTTCCAAAAATCTGTTCTCTCGATATGGTGCATCGGCGTGCTTCTCTGTCGTTTTATTTTTTAATCACTAGAAAGTAATACCTGAGAAATGCTCCCCATGTGAAGTCATCCTTACCACATGATGACATCCTCCTGTTCTTCCTCCTCCTCTCCGACTTGATCCACCTGCCGGCTGCCATTGGCCAAGCCGAGAGCCAATGGCGCGCCGGCTACGCGCAGCGCAGAGGGGAGGGGTGGCCCTTTCAAATGGTGCGGCCGGACCTTGACAAGGTCCGTCTTTGCTCAGGCACCATTGTCACTCGGCCGCTGGAGTCACAACAACGGGGGAGCCCGAAGATTGATAGGACGGTTGTCGCTTGGTCCGGACCCCAACTAAAAAGCTTTTTCCTGACCCCCCCTGGGAGCATGGTGGCATAAGCCCACATGGATTTAGTCGACCTCTACCTCCCCGAGTGCTTCACGTACCACCCCGACGCACAGTGAGTACGCGCCATCAAGGTTGTCTTGGGTAGCCACTCCTTCTTTCTGAAACTGGACTGCATTTTCTCTTGCGAACCGCAAAACAAGTTCGAACAGGGGTGGGCAAAGTTTTTCTCCTCACCCTCCCAAAAAAAGTTCAAATGTCTCCAATTATTTGAACAATAAAATATGAATTCATTCTTGTTATTAGTTGTTTAATTTCTACTCAATTTAGGTTGAAATAATTATTTCCTTTTTTGCTGTTTTCTGGGCAGAATCCTGTTACCTTCAAAATCAGCACTTTTCAGGAGACCCTAAAACGGCATTTTTGTTCAACCATTTGCAAAAAAAAAAAATAACACCCTCACATGTGGACTGACCAATAATATAGACCTGTGACAAAATATGAAATGTACAAAATAGTGACATTTGAGATTTCTATGCGATACCAGCAATATGTAAAATTGTTGATGATGAATTTTTAAATTAGCTATTTTTATTAATTTAGTCTGTCCTTTTTAAAAAAAGCTTGAGAAAAAATTGAATGAATACATTTTAAGAACCACATTTTAGGAAAATGTACCCATCCCGGAATATGATTGTCGTTGCTCTTCCTATAGTGAGAATTACCGTTTTGTCATATTAGGCAAGCTAGAAATTCAGACTGATTGACAATCACAATCTTCTAAAGTCCACTAAACCAAATGGCACAATTAAAAGTTCATTGGTTTTCGACGGAGTTCTGTTCCTCCGCCAGTGACATAACCGAAATTTGTCAACGCAAATCACTAACTTACGCCAACGCAGTATATCATAATTACAGCAAATATCAGTGTGGAAAAACACAATCAAATTAAACACAGTCACTGCTCATTTCTATTCTTGAAATCTTGTCGGCGGGCATCATCGTAAACCAACGACTCTCCATCTACCGTTTCTAGTTTTTTTTCCTGGTTTTATTTGTAGTGAACCTCTCCTCAAGACTTCTGGAACACACCACTAGTGTTCTACTGGAAAACAGTGACATTGATGTGGAGTGCATTCTAAAAAGCTCTGTACCTTGTATGGAGCCCTGTGGAACACCACCCTTATTTATTTCAGGTTGCAATCAAGTTGCATTCCTAAGGCTGGAAGATGCTTCTTCAACCAAGTGTTAGTTTGTGTTTCTCTCTTTGTCCTGTGGTGGAAGCTAAGCAAAGGAATTGTTTTCCGACCTGATGTGGAGGTTTGTTTGCGATGGTAATAGTTGCAATGGTTACAGTTACGCAGCTGGCTTGTTTGTTGCTGGTGATGGTGAATGAGTAGAACCAGTTTGGTGGGAAACGACTCCCACATAAGGGATGTTATGAGCAGCGCTCACGTTTTGGTTTGTTTGTTTTGCTTTTTTTTTTTTTTGGAAGGGGTTCTTTTGAATGAACAATTGTTTCTACGAATAAAAATCCATTTCTATTTAAAAACACAAAATCATCATCAGAATAAAAATAGAAAATGTATGGCCATAATGTGGTTGTTTTTTTTTCTCCCAACTAAATTCTGATTGTTTGGTGGAAGGCTTGGACTCATACAAAAAAATGTCAAATATTTTGTGGACAAAAAGTTAAATATTATTGACATGTATATACTCATATATTTAATGGCCTGAATGTATTTTATTTGACTAAATTTAGAAAACAATTTAATTTGACATTATTTTGATTGAAATTGTTTACAATTATTTTTTATTTAAATATAAATAACATTTAGTCTAAGAAAAAAAGGAACATTTTAGACACTGTTCAGTAAAAACCAAAATCGTAAAATAAGAGTTTTATTAATAATTAAAACTAATAAATAATGGCAAAGTTCTATTGTGGTTCTAATCCATTCTACATGACTTCTTATAGAAACCATGCGATCCTGGTGAAACGCAAAATGTTCCAGTCCAACCATGGTAAAACCACCAAATGTGTCCCTCCATGCTTTTATTCCCCAACAATGATTGCAGATGCTAAGCTTTTTTTCTTTCAGCTGTTGCATAATCCTTTTGGGGAGAAATTGCTCGCAGCAAAAGTACAAGAATTTCCAAAGCATTCGGAAGACGTTCACATGACGTACAGGTTGGCTGATTGTTGTTGACATTGGAAAAATGGAATTGAAAACGGGCAGGGACAACCTGACATGACCTCCCATGTATATATGAGCGTCTCCCGGTCGCACGTCTGAGTTAATGACCGGCGACTGGCTTTCTTCCTCATTTCAGGCACAATAAAAAAAAAAAAGGAGTCCCGGCGTGGCCTGAAGTGCGCTACCTTTGATTTACGTCCGCCGGCCCGCCCGCGTCATCTTTTGATGGGCTTTTATGGTGATGATCACATGATCTCTTAATGCCATTTCATTAGCCGAGCTAAATGGTCGGGCATTCTAATGACGAGTGGGGCGTCTATGGCTGCGCGTATATGTCACTCCGTGCTTGACAAGCCAATATGGACTCCCGTGATGGATCGTCAAGGTTACCGCAAGTCCTTTGAAAGCTCTGCGCTGTATTGTTTATTTATAGTCCCAAAGTGGATTGGAAAAGGATGAGCGATGGAATACCGCGAGATGGAAATGCACTGTATTCAAACTTAAACTTGAACGTGCCCAATTTTATTACTTCAAAATACATTTCAGGTCTAAGTGTTGGAAAAAAAAACAGTTTGGACCTTAACACGGGTTGGGGCACTGCGCTCAAAAGTTAAATCCAACTGAACCGCTGTTCAACAAAATCTACTGTGCTTGAAAAGTAAAAATAAAAGATACATTTCAGGTCTCAGTGTTGGAAAAAAAACAGTTTGGACCTGAACACGGGTTGGCGTACTGCGCTCAAAAGTTAAATACAACTGAACTGCTCTTAAACAAAATCTACTGTGCTTGAAAAGTAAAAATAAAATATTGTTCTGGTTTGGGGAATAAAAAGGCCAACAGGTTGCCCGGATAGCGACAAGCTTCATTCCAATTCAGTGTTTTATAGGTTGTGAATGTCTTAGTATTTAATTCAGTGATGCTTTTGTCTTCCACTAGAGGGAGCCCTTGTACTACCAGTGATACTCGTTCCGCATTTTGAGATTGAAAAATGTATACTTCTGCCAAGGCAAATATTTTTTTTCTCCCCTCAAAATTCTGCACACGACGACCCATACTGACAACATTGGGAAAAAAATAAATAAATTCTGCGCGTGCCTGCGTGCTTGCGGTTTTGTGGCGGCGCCGCGTCGGCGAACGCGTGGCGGCGGTTCACTGAGTAACCAGAGCCTTTTACCAAGCAAATAACTTGTGGCCCGTGAGGCTGAGATTTACATGGCAGGAAGCAGATTGACGTGTGTGCATGTGTGTGTTCATGTGAGTGACATTCAGTCGAGAATTCCCCCCCGACTCCCCGAGTGGGCCTGATGACAAACAGTTGCATGCTGAAATGTGTCAGGGTGTTTATGAAGACACATGCTTTTTACTGCGACTGGCTGTGTGTTTGTGTGTGCGTGTGTGTGTGCGTGCGCACGCATGTTCTTCACCGTATTCCCAATCACGTGAGTGCCATTGCTTCTTATTTTGACTCCCACACGTGAAGGTCTGACGCCACATAGCGTGTGTGAATGTGTTTTTGAGAGGGGCACATTCTGCCAGCTAGCACGCTTTTAGTTCACAACTTAGGTACTCGCTATATATAACAATTGTTTTGGTATTTTGAAAGAAGTTTACATGTTGGATGTTATTGGATTGCGGCATTGTCCCGAGTGCAGATCAAGCCCTAAAGTATTTCCCTGCATTTGCTTGGGCATTTCCCCTCTTTGAAAGCAAAGCAGTGTTGTGGTTCGCCGCCATGTTTGCATAATGTGGCCAATCCCAAACTGCCGCTTGGATGGATGAATGCACGAATGAATGTTCGCCGACTACACCGGAACCTCCGTTTTTGTGATTAATTGGTTCCAAAAAGTCAGACGAAATGCAAATTGTACAAAATCCAAAAGAATATTTCCCATAAGAATTAATTACAATGCCTCAGACATCCAAAGATCCAAAGAACATGCATAATAGTCACCCTACAAAGCAGTCTGAAATGACAAATGAAGTGAAAGAAAGAACATTTAAAATCCTTTTTAACCTTATCGAAAGACATTTTATTGCATCTACAGCGCAGAGGGGAGACATTTTCTTGGATTCTATCGTGTTTCTTGCCATTACCAAATAGCACTTGCAATTTTGGCCGAAGTAAAAAAAAATAATAATAATTTTTTAAAAAAGCGTTGAAGTAGTGTAAGACATCCTGTCAACAGTCAGGCCTCCAAAATAAAAGCAGGACCAATATCGCCACACTTTATGCTGGCTTGTAGAGCAATTGCACCCAAAGCGATATTACGCTTCTTCATTGAGCGTGACTGTTAAATAAGAACGTGTGCTGAAACTGTTATTCTTCTATTCCGCATGCTTATATTTCGAAGCATTTTTATTTTATGCAGACGTTTGCCCGAGTGTTGCCGAGCAGACAGGGCGGCTCGTTGCTTTGAGTTGGGAATTAAAGTTTGTGTTGTGGAGTATGAGTCCATTGAACCCTTTACATGCAACTCACAGTATGAAATGATTCAGACCAACACGCATCGGTCCCAAGAAATGAATAACTGAAAAAAAAAAAAATCCAAAAGAAACAGAGGTTCCAGTGTACTTGAGTAGTGATGTTGCATACTGGTATCGTGGCCCAGGTTAATGATTGTCCTCTTGCAGACACGCGGGCAGGATGTCGGTGAGGGGTCCGGACCCCCCGTGTCCCTCGTCCATCAAGCGCGAGCCGTCCAGCCCCAGCAGCTCGCAGGGAGACGCCAGCCCGCCCCAGCCCAGCCCCGCCAGCTCGTCCTCGGACACCAACTCCAGCTTCGGGCCCCCGACCAAGGGCCACGGTCACGGCAATGAGTTGGGCTCCGCCCACAGCGGAGGGCCAATCAGGTGTCTTTCTTTGGTTTGGTCACAGTATTAGGTACACCCGCGCATCAGGGCAGCAGTGATTCGACAATAGATTTGGGTTTTTGTGGCCAAAGCTTGTGATTTTTTTTTCCCTTGTGTTCATTTGTATTAATAGTAACGCAAACTCACATTTTTTTATCTTTGCCAGGTATTAAAAGAAAAAAAAAAACAAAAGCACAGAAATCCAAATCAGTTTTGGTTGCATTTATGCCAAGGTGGGGCAGAGACCCACCAGATCCAGTACTCAAAAGTGGCAAAGAGAACTGTTCATTTTTTTGTTGGTTTTATTGTTTTATGGTTGAAACGTTTGTGAGCAGCGGTGCTATCATTCGGCGTGTGTGCGGCTGTTTAGGCGGTTGGTGGAGGACGAGGCCCAAGTGAAATGCGAATTCCTGCTGGGCTCCGTGGCTAAGCGCCTGTGTCTGGTGTGTGGCGATGTGGCGTCGGGCTACCACTACGGCGTCGCCTCGTGCGAGGCCTGCAAGGCCTTCTTCAAGAGGACCATCCAGGGTGAGCGCTTCGAAAACCGGCAATTGGAAAAGATTACCCTCAAATTTGTAATACTTCAAGTTAGCGGTGGGTGTTTATGGTCGGTGTGCGCTCGCACCTGTGCCTGCCGCATACCAGTTTTGCGAGCGTTTGTTTGAGGCTAAATAAGCGAATCGAGTCAGCCGGCAGCTTCCGCTGTCCACGTCCGCCACTTCTTGCTTGAAGCTCTTGCGAAAAGCTGCTGTCTGACGGCACAGTCAAAACGTCAATAGTGAGGAGCGACTGCGTGGTTTTTTTTTTTTGTGGCTCAGGCAACATCGAGTACAGTTGCCCCGGCTCCAACCAATGTGAAATCACCAAGCGGAGGAGGAAGTCGTGCCAGGCGTGTCGGTTCGTCAAGTGTCTGGCCGTCGGCATGCTGAGGGAAGGTGAGCCCTGAAAACACCCAACAACCAAAAATGGATGTGCCATAAGTCCGGCATTTTTTGGGGGGGGGCAAGATTTTGTCAGTAATGCAGTAATTGCCCCTTGCCCCACTCCAGACCACCAATGCAATAAGTGTCATCCGCTTTTGAACACACTTTGAAGACAATCCAAACACACATATAAAAACATTGAGAGAAAAAGCGCAATGGAGACAACAAAAATAGTATACACGCAGTGTAACAGAGAGCCCTTTTTGTGTTTAAACAAATCCCGTTTTTTTTTTTTTTTCTTTTCCAAATGAATCTGTGGAATAGCGGAACCACAAAACCGTGATGGAGGCGGGATTACCGTGTATTGAGTTAGGAGTTTGGTCATGCAACGCATTCACCTCATAAGTCAAGGTTCCCACTCCATTTGTATTTTTTTGTTTGTGGGTGCCAAGATTTGTGCGATGTGTACATTGCGCTGTGTGTGTGTGTGTGTGTGTGTGTGTTTGTGTGTGTGTGTGTGTGTGTGTGTGTGTGTGTGTGTGTGTGTGTATAGACGAACCAGTGGTCAGGTGCTCTTGTGTGTGCGCTTGTCCGCTGACATATTGTTGTCCCGATTTAGAAGTGACTCAAAAAGGAAAACATGAGCGATGACCGCTCATACGCACGCACACACTCGAAGCGGGGGACCAAATGAAAGAAAGAAAAGCAGGCTCGAGCACATAAAAGCTTTGTGTGTGTGTGTGTGTGTGTGTGTGTGTGTGTGTGTGTGTGTGTGTGTTGCAAAATAGTGCTCTTGTGTACCATTTTTATCATTAACTATAGCATCCTAATAACATTTTTTTGTGAGCAGTTCGAGTTTTTTTTTTTAGGATTCTCTCAATATAGCATTACCATAAGAAAAAAGTGTTGTGTGACCGCATTGAGCGTTTTAATGACAAAATAGAGGATTGTTGTGAAAAAGTAAAGCATTTTTATGAGCGAACATTGCATTTTTGTGACAAGGCTATCATTGCTATCAAAAGTTTTCACGTTTTTTTGGACTCTTGCTTCAAAAAAAGGATTTTAGCGACAAAATGTTGCATCTTGTCTAAAACGTTTTTGCATGATGATGACAAAAGACCAAGTTGAGCATTTTTATTTGAACAAAATATCATGGTTTGGTAAACTGAATCAAGCACTCCTATGACGTGTTGTGTTTTGCTGTCAAAATGTTGCACTGTCAGAACAAATTTCTTTTTGTGACAAAACGTTACATCCGAATGAAAACAAGTAGCATTTTTGTGAGCATACGACGAAATTTTCACATTGAACTAATTTTGACAAAATGTGTGGTCCAAATCAAGCATTTTTAGGACGAAAGGTGTGATTTGATTTTTTTGGGGGGGGGATGGGGGGTCAATTTTTTTTAAGATCACCAAAGAAACTCTAGAGGAAGATACAAAAGCAAAGAGGAGACGGCTGGCAGAGGGTTAAGGTCGCATTTAATGGTGACGAAGGTCCGCACACATGCGTGTCTGACAGCGAATAGGTGAATTCTGGCTGGACGCAGGTGAAATAATAGCCCAGTGGAGAAACCGCTAAAACCAGAAATCAATCGACGCTGGTTACCTGAGGCTGCCGGGCACTGTGATGTCATTTTCAGTCGACAGCGAGTGGATAAAAATTTGTCGTTTTCGCACCAAATTTTCTGTGTCAAAATGCAATGTTTGGGATGCAGAATATAATACAGTGGTACCTCTACTTACGAAATTAGTTGGTTCTGGAGAAATTTCTTAACTCGAAAATTTTGTAAGTAGAGACGCGTTTTCCATGTAAATGCCCTAATCCGTTCCAAGCAACCCCCAAAATTCAGATATAAATGTTTTCTAAAGCATAAAAATGCATCAAAATATGTAGCAAATACATGCTGCACTTAGATTATTGTGCAATGAGAGTTGTGCATAATGTAAAAAAAGAAAGAAAAGAGTAAAGTATAAAAATAATGGTCATTTAACTTTTAACTGCATCTCTTTTGCCTGGCGTTTTGTAAAGAAGTGATGCGAGGATGTTTGCTTTTGTCGGCTTTTAACAATCCTTCGGAAATGTCCAAGGCAAGCATCAGCATAGTGAGCGATCGCCTGACTGCTCAACACTTTTTCTGGGTGATTCAAATTTACGTAAAACTATTTGAACACGTCTTGGCCCGAGAGGCGAATGATGAGAACGTTGCATCGACGCATATCTATTTCTACACACTTTGACACATCCGGTAGAGGTCCCTCTTATCCAATGGGACGCCAGGAAGATTCTAGGTAACAGCCAATGGCAGAGCAGCTATAAGTACGTTGCGTTCATGAAAATCGGAGCTGCGAATAGCAGCCATACTGTATTTTTACCTTTCGTATCTTGAAATTTCTTTCGTAACAAGAGGCAATATTTTCCTGTTGAGGCGTTTCGTAACTTGAAAATTTCGTATGAAGAGACGTTCGTAAGTAAAGGTATCAGTGTATGCCCAATATTCTTCACTCTTTGCAGCTGTTGATGACTTGAAGAGATTTACACGACACTATACTTGGTATTTGTCCAAGCTGACATTGAAACGCACACCTTTGTCTTCATTATCTTTTTTTTTTAAGGCTCTGAGCATCAGTGGCATCTCAGCATCCCCCCTCCCTCAGTCCCTCCCCTTACCCGCTCTCGTAAATTCCTCCAGATGCCTCGTGGGATTCCTGGAGCTCTGCGGAAGGCGAGCCGGTGCTCGTAACGCGCTTCAGTGCGCCTCGTAATGCCCGCCGCCCCTGGAGAGGCCGCAATAAAGGCCCAGACAGCTTTAATTGGGCCACACTCGGTCGCAGGAGATGTGCGCCTATTAAAAAGAAAAAAAAGACAACCACACGAAACCGGCTTTGTTCTTTTCGAATGTTGTCATATTGTTGGTTGTTATTGTCAAAATTCCACCAGGTCAACATAAAGACTCTGTGAAGTGAATTCGGAGATTTGTTTCTTGATATGTGCAAAAACACTTTTTTGTTGTACTCAGTTATGGAGTTCAACCGTTTCTTAACATTTCACTTTTCCTGATTTATTTCAAACAGCAACAGATAACATCCGTTGCCTTTCCACTATATATGAATATATGAGTGCCTTCATTTGCATCAGCAGTGCAATTTGATTGACAGTTGACGGTGCCTGATATTTGTCTTTTTTTTTTTTTTTCTCTTTTTAATCGTTTCAATTTGGCAGGCTTGTGAATCACACTTTTCTGTGTGGTGGCTCAACTTTACAAGATATTTTTATTTTCCCCTTCAGTGGGACTTTCATGCTCCCCGGTTCACGTTCGTCTATGCCGCTGCTGGCCCCGATTTATTTTTGTCTCGTAAGGCCAATGAACCCATCAAAATCTCAACGGGGGTTGATCATTTTTTAAAAATGTTGTCGTCATCTGCGCAGGGCTAAAAAAAAAAAAAAATTCAACTCATTTTCAAAGTAAGCAATGTAAAACATAGATATGTCTTCAACTGAAGGGAGTAAAAAAAATAAAAAAAGTCATCTGGAAGAATAAAAACTCAAAGTACGGATAATTGCAAAATCCACGAGGTGCGATAATGAAACGTACCACTGGTGCGTGCGAATAACAAGTGTAACTTTAACATTGGAATGTGCTGACAGGAAGCGAGGCCAAGAATAGTTTGTGTGGATAACAAACGGTCATAAAGGCACTCTGGCGTCTCTTGATCTATTTCGGGACCCTTTCATCACTGCTTTCGAGGGTCTCGGTGCAGGGAAGGGGGGGCTTCGGGCGGCCGTGATCATCGGCGTCCCGCGATCGTGGCGCCGGAAAACTGGCCCCGGCCACCTCGCCGACTCCCGCCTCGCCTCGCCTCGGCTCTCCTACATGTCTTTACTCCAAACAATCCCGCATTTCTCACGTTAGGCGACAAATGTACACATGGCGCCAGTCATCGGATGCGGGCGTGCTTCCCACCCTAAAAATACAGAAAGCGCAACAAACGAGAGAATGTAAATTTCTGAGGGAATTTTCTTGGGCTGCTGAGCAGCTGATGCCAAACAAAAAAAAAAAAAAATGCAGCGCTATTAATACAAACATCGAGGTGTAGAATGTGAGGCTTGAATTGGTCAAGAACAAATTTGACAACGAGGCGCTCTAAAGTGGTCACACCAGCCCGAAGCCGCGATCGACATGCCGACTGTCAAGGCAGACTTAAAAACAACAAAATCATCCCCATCTTTGCTTTTGTGCCTTTTTCACTGTGTTTGCATGCATAGCCAGCAACGAGGCGCTCGTTGCTGGCGATCAGAAGGGAAGATGCATTTTCAGAGTGTCGGCTAGCTAACTCCACTTTGCATACTCATGCTGGACGTCCAAGTGTGTCACATGGCCCTGTTTTCGCAACGGCCAAAATAATCCAGAAAAGTGACATTTTGTAAACTAGAGCTCCACATCTGAGTCCGACATAGTTCTCACTCCCTCATGTCTAAACACAAATCTCTCAATTTACTTTACAGGGTTTTTCATTCAGCAACAGACTACTGCGAGAACTTTTGTCACATCTGACGCACCCACACAGTGTCTTGTGACCCTGGACTGGCACCTGCCAAGTGCCCGGGCTAATCCGCAATTAGTATTTCCTTCCCCTACCGTGACATGTGGCAAGGGTCAAAGGGCTGCCAATCCATTTCTTGAACTTCTAATCCTACCATCTGGACCACACATAAGATGACGACAAAACACTTGGATATGAGAAATCAGTTTTCCAATTTCGACGTTCGCTGAAGTGAGCTGTGGTGACAACGTTTTGCTTTTTTTTTTGGGGGGGGGCGTGGCCTCACAGGTGTGCGTCTGGATCGCGTTCGAGGCGGGCGGCAGAAGTACAAGCGGCGAATGGACGCCGACGACGGCGACTGCTCCTATCGCCACCTGCACGGTGTCCTGCCGCACAAGAAAGCGCGTAAGTGCATTTCGGGAATATACTCCTTTCCGAAAGTATTGGAACGACGTTTCAATCAAGTCCTTTGATTTTTTTTTTTTTTTTTGTGCTCTGGAGACATTTGGCTTCCAGATCAAAAGTTGAAAATCCATCCTTCCATTTTCTCATCCGCTTAACCTCACGAGGGTCACGGGGCGTGCTGGAGTCTATCCCAGCTGTCTTCGGGTAGTAGGCGGGGGGACACCCTGAACCGGTTGCCAGCCAATCGCAGGGCACACGGAGACGAACATGTCATCCGCGCTCACAATCACTTCAAGCCTTCCTCAGTGCATCAAGAGAGTGAATACATGCACTGGTATGGAACACCCCTAATTATGATGTGTTTTGCTCGCGTTCCAGCCGGCGATAACCAAGTGGTGTCACTGCTCCTGCTGGCCGAACCCGAGGCCATCCTGGCCATGGCCGACCCGACGGTGCCCGACAGCGACATCAAGGCGCTGACCACGCTGTGCGACCTGGCCGACCGCGAGCTGGTAGTCAACATCGGCTGGGCCAAACACATCCCAGGTATGCACTCCTTATCCCGCTAAGCAGATCACCACGGTTGTTGTGCTCGAAAGGACACACCGCCACATGCGTGTGTGCGTGTTCCTAATAAAATTCACCCGATGACCCGCAAGCCACCTGGAAGTTTTAATCGACTTGGGAACACTCCCGCCGGCTTCTCCGCCAATTCAGTGCTTCACCGAATTTTGTTTTAAAAGGGAAACTAGCACTTTACGACTTTATTTAAAAGGGGGCAGTGAAGAACACATGAAAAACATGGTTTAAAAAAAAAGGCCATTTTTTTTATTGTCCATGTTATCAACATCATCATGGAAGCACCCGCCTCTTTTTTACGTCTTGTTTTGTCTTTGAATTGCTGACAAATACAAACAAAGCATTAGCGCGCATGTGCATGCGTGCGTGCACCTGTGCCTGCGCGCGTTCCAGCACAGACATGGTCTTGTCCTTGCGTGTTTCTGAGTATTGGAAGAGGAGTTTTCCCTTCCCCAGGGCCGCCGCCGCCGTCGTCGTCTGTCTCTTTCAGATCCGGCGAGCGGAGGAGCGACAAAGTTAAATTGTGTAGCTTTCTCTTCAAATATGATTGGCTCCTTGTTGCCAGGCAGAGTTCGGGGTGCTCAATCAACTACCCTATTATTGTTTTTCTATTCCAAAAGAATTACATTCATATATTGTGATTGCAATTGTATTTTTTTTTTTCAAGATCAATTTCTGATGGGGAAAGCCAAAAGTCGACAATGCCATTAATTGTAGCGTTTATTCAGTTACATTATTGATATTTTATTCCGTGTGATGGTGGAAGCCGTAGGTCAGAACAGTTGCCGGCCCGTTGCGTTGCTTAAGAGCACATTGGCAGTCCTTAGAAAGCAAACTGCCATCTAGGAATTCATCGTTAAGAATAAACATATTGCGTCCAATCATGTAAAAATCTTTCAGGGTTAAAAAGGGACACGTCGTATCCTGACAAAACCCTCTTTGGTTTAAAAAAAAAAAAAATGTGCCTGAATACAAATGATACATCGATGAGACACACAAAACTGCTAATTAAATAACAATACGAATGCAAAAGTCTCCTTTTGTCAGCGTAATGGCGCTGTCATGTCGTTTGGGGGGGGCTGAGTGACGGAGGCCCGGTCCGAGCCATCTGAGTTGCCGGCCCCTGGAGGAAGGTGACCACATCCGGGCCGCCTCCTCAGCTGCCGGCAACGTGGACGCTGATGGAAGCCAAAGCGGCGCGGAGGGTTCATTCGGCCGCTGGGCTAAAAAGCCGCTCTCATATTTGGTCTTTTGGAGCTGGCTCTTGCATGACTGTGTGACCGTGACCACGACAACCATGATGATACACTCGACGCTAACAAGCACTAATCAGCACACTCTTGTTTGACTTGCGCGTTAGTTGTACTTCTCTGCTTGCCCCGGCAGAAAATATCCGGGTAGACCTCTGTTTACCCCACCATAAGATTTCAGTCACTTGTTCTGTGCTTTTGCCCCTGCCAGGAGCTGTGCTAAGCTAAGGTGTGCGCTAGGCTAAAGCACGTGCTCAAGTTAACGCCGATAATAATAAATTGGATTTGAGGAGCACTTACCTGTGGCGCTGACGAAACAGCAGCAGCGGGTGAGCGCACTCGCTTCCTGGTTTAGCTTAACCCTTACATCCACCGTGTAACCTGAAAAGGTTAACTATCACTTCATTCGTTGTCATGTCACTCAGTTGGATGATGGGGATCCATATGTGCTTGTTAACCCACACGGGCAATGAATCAGAGGCAGGAAGGTGCAGTGTATCCAAATAAACGTCACTGACGCTATTAAATGCGCACTCCCCCACCGCGGCGCACCCCTCGCTCTTTAAAATGGCCTCTTTTGTTACACTTTGTGTGTTTGCGCTCGTGTGTCCCCAGTAGGATTTAATAGTCCTCATGTGTGTAATTCTCAGTAAAAGTGGGCGTGTCCTCAGTCATCCCTCGGTCGATGTTTTGCTGTGTGCGGCGAGCCAAATCTTCGTTTTCCACACGGAGGGACGTGGTCGGATGTCGCGCAACTCGTTTTCGTGCGGGGCCAACAGTCGGCCGCAAGTTGATCCGCGATTTGGAATTCGAACGCGAACTGACGGATCCGGGACGTATGCCGACAGGCTTCCCGTCGCTGTCGCTTGCCGATCAGATGAGTCTCCTGCAGAGCGGCTGGATGGAGATCCTGATCCTGCGCGTGGTCTTCCGCTCGCTGGCGCTGGACGAAAGGCTGGCGTACGCCGAGGACTATGTGATGGACCACGACCAGTCCAAGATGGCCGGCCTGCTGGACCTCAACAACGCCATCTTGCAGCTGGTCAAGAAGTACAAAAGTGTCAGTCTGGACAGGGAAGAGTTCGTGCTCCTCAAAGCCATCGCGCTCGTCAACTCAGGTAATCCGACGGGAACTTTGCATTCGGGGCAAGAAGGGGATGTGCCCCATGATCGCTTGGATCATTCTGATGACCATTGACGTGATTTATGAGTTGTTTTCTGTCGATGATGGGGCACACCATTTTGTGCCCCACTGGAGACTCAGCTGTGTACCTCGCACTAAAATGAAAGCGTCACGTCAACCACAGTAAGCCCGTAAAACGACAAATTTCAACATCATTATATTTTGTTGGATTGCAACAAAATATGTTTGAAAAATAATTACAGGATGCAGTGCAGTGAGATTTTAGGGGCACTCCTCACTTTGCCCCACCATTAGCTAAAATGTTGGGGGGTGGGGGGGGGATTACCTTCCATCATTGTCTCTTTTAGCATTTTACTGTAAATACCGTCACATGTTGTTTGTACCAAACATCTTTTGTGAATTTTCCTCCATTTTGTCCCCCCCCCCCCCACCCCACGAAGACTCGGAGGCGGTCCAGCACCTCCAGGACGTCCTCCAGGGGGCCTTGCAGGACTACGAGGCGGCCCGCCACGCGCAGGACCCTCGGCGGGCCGGCAAGCTGATCATGAGCCTTCCTCTGCTGCGGCAGACGGCCGCCCGAGCCGTGCAGCACTTCTGCGGCATCAAGCGGGATGGTCGCGTGCCCATGCACAAACTTTTCCTGGAGCTACTGGAGGCCAAAGCCTGAACGCCGGCGGGCGCTCGTGCACCCTCAAGACCGCAGAAGCTTCCGCTTTGAAAATCCATCAGTACCTTGGCTTACAAGTGCCCTGCCTTACCGTTTTTTTTTTTTAAAAGTTAGGAGCCGTCGCTTTCTTGATTTGTATTTATTTATTTATTTATTAGGGGCTTTGTGTTCCAAGCCGGAATTTGAGCGACAAGAGAGCGTCAGATGCGTGAAAAAAAACAAAAACAAAACAACTTGTAATGAATAAGACTTGAGGGGCACTCCACGATATGTCCCACCTTAGGAGTTTTTCAAGTCGCGTGGTACTAGTATGAACCGGTCCGTGTTGGAAAACGGGTTGGGGACCGCGATCATGTGACTACCCGCAAAATGGACAAAAAACACGCGGGATGAGGCGAACGCCCCTCGTGGATGAAGTCCTCCTTCGGGAAGCCTCCTCGGATGCATTTCGAGTTCCTCGCGCAAGGAGAACGTCGAAAGTCTCGCCAAAACAAGTGATTCGAAAATCGAGAGCGGCAGAGCGACGTACGTAACGGGGCCTCGAGGACATTTCAGGGAAAGAAACTGTGCTCAAGCGAAGTGTATTTCAAATGCAACTTGTGGGCAAGTCGACAAACAAAATGGCAGAGATGAATCACCTCATTAAAAAGAAAAAAAGCCCCCAAAAAGAAATTTGCAAATGTTTGTCATATATAAATATATTCTTTTGTTTTACTCATAAACTTACCATGGCCTTCTGCGGACTTTATAAAAGTTTCTGTGTTCTAAACATACATACAGTACAGTATCTATAACTCTATAACAAAAACTAAAATGGTCACCATAACATAAAAAAAAAAAACCTCATTCTTGCAGGAATTTAGTAGGATTTTGTTGGAGAAAAAATATCTTTGCAATTTTTAGAACACAAAAAAAACATTTACATGACTTGCAAAAAAACATCTTTGAAATTTGGTGCTTTTTTTTCTTTTTTTTTTGCAGTCCAGTTTGTAAAAGGATTATTGTTTTTGCGCATGTATGATTTCCTACTAAATTCCTGCTTCTCTGTCAAACAGAAACTGTCCCTTCTATGTTCGGACGTAAACGCGTGCTCTCCTTTTCCCCCCTCGTCGCCATGACGTATTTGAACGTTGGAGTCAGCTGGCCTGTTTTGTGTGGAGACTCTTGGCAAAATATTCTGCTGTTAAATGAAGGCCTTATACTAGAGTTGTAGTCCCCTTGCCACTAAATTTAAGACTTAATCAAAATGTTCTCGATTTGACGGTTTAACTATGCACTGTCTTCTTTTTTTTGTTTGTTTGTTTGTTTGTTTTTGTTTTTTTGCATCAGTGTGTCTAACGCCAGCGGATGACACTTGTGTTGTTTCTTTCTCAGGTGAATATTTTGGGCAATAAAGACCGTCCCCCTGCACCCATTGTGTCGCCTTTGAACACTCAACAACGACAAAAATAAAGTAATTAATGTGCTTTCAGTAGATGTTTCATGTAGCTGGATAGCAGGAGTGCCCAACTACTAAGTCATAGTCGACCGGTAGTTCGCGGAGTGGTCCCAAGTCAACTACGAGGGGCTTCGGGAGAAATGGGGGAAAAACTAAAAGATTTGTGTCTTTTTATGATTAGAATTTTTTTTTCTATGATATAATTTGGTTTTAGTATAACTGCACCCTAAGTATCCTATCAATTTCAGGTCCACCTGCAAGTATTAAAATGAATAAATAAACAGGTCACCTTTAACCTACGGTGGCCCCTGACCTGCATCACAGGAAGTTTTTAGCGGACAGCTGTCTCCAATTGCAGCTAGCGATCAGAGCTGTTGAGATAGTTTGTTTGATCTGCAATTCACCGATGGCATTGTAAAGAAAATGGGAATCTGGAATCAACGATAGTGATGTTTCTGCACTTGCCACGCTACAAAAGTTCGTCCCTGCCTTCCTGTCAGGTCTCACGCTAAGGTATGCAGTGATTTCCTTTTTACAAACTCAGTCTGGTCTTGCATCCAGTTTATTTTTCTTGTTTCGTTCATGTTCGCGTCCGTTGTAGTTGTTGCTCATCGGGGCATGCGTGTGTATGTATACATGTGTGCACGTCCAGTAGGTTACTGCGGTCAGGCCAGCCTCCGCTCACAAAGTTGAAGTCAAGGTAGCCGCCACAGCGATTTTTAATCGTGTGCATTACGGTAATCTGCCCCCTTTGAGCGGTGTTGGCCACCTTCGAAATAAAAGCTTTCCAACTAATTCATGCACGCCATTGGTTTGGATTTAAAATAATTGTATAAAATAACTTCTCAGGGGTCGTGTAACGATGAGTTCACCCAGGGAAAATGAAAACTGTCTCAGAATAGCACCATAACACGTTAAATCCAAACCACTGACGTGCATGCTTTAGTTGGTGAGCTTTTATTTTGAAGGTGGCCAACGCCGGATGGTTTGACTTCAATTTTGTGAGTGGAGGCTTGCCTCACCGCAGTGGAAGAGTGGCTGCTTGAAAAACAGATCTTCAGTCCAAAAAAAGGTTGGGACTGTTTTGTCCAGTATTCCCTCCTCTATCATGGGAGTTACATTGACAGGTGTAAAATCCAGGTACAGAAAGTAAAAACTCTTTCCCCAATTTGGCTTTAGCCACAGGTACCCTCTTCTACTTAACCGGCTCGTACAGGAGCTCGGTTGAATAGAAGCACCTGTGGGTAAAACCAAAGCGTATGACTGTTTTTACTTTCTTGGACCATTGGCTCCAGAACGAAATTAATGATATAGAAAAACCTAACCTAGAAAAATAAAAATGCTCCCTCAGCATCTTTTGATCGCATTTACAATAATTTAAACATCCGTCCTTGAAATACTTCCACTTCTTTCAAATGTACACAATGGAAAACAATCGTGTGCCGCCATCTTGTGGATAACAGTGGATTTGCGCACAATACAAACTGCAGAAAATACAAAATTGAATTAACTGTACCAAACAAATGTAATACTATGACTACTACTACTACTACTACTACTAATAATAATAATAATAATAATAATAGCAGGACCGTGAACTGGAACCACCAATGGAGTCTGGCGTGAAGTCAGCTCCACGGTCGTTCCCCATTTGATTTAGCTTTGCATTCAACCTTAAAACACAGCAACTGCCCGTTCTCGCCTGTAGATGGCAGTGTTTCCCACACTTTTGCTTGGATCAAGACGCTGGTTGTTTCACGAATGTCCCGCTTCAAAAACAGAATTTAACATTCTCCTATGTGTGACTTATGGCAGTTCATCAAAATCCCCGACTTGATCCAAAATGGATGAAATCTTGAAGTTGCAAATGCAAATGTTGCACATTTTGAATTCAATTCCATTGTTGTCATTTGGATATTTCAAAATGGGTTTCATTTGAAAGCTGTTGAAGTGCAGAGTGTGAAATAGGTGAGAAACTCAACGACCATTTTACTTTTGTGGCATTGGAAGGCCACTAAAATCGCCATTTTCGCCTAAAGAGACCGCAATTGCGCTTTCATGCCAACAGGTGCAGTGACGTCCACAGTTTTCCAAGAGTGAAGACGCTGGTTTTCTCACTCCTCTCCAGTGAAAAAAAAAAGATTAAAGATTTCAACGTACTCCCACTGCCACAAAAACAAAATGGCGTTGAGTTTTACACCTGTTTTACACTCATCACTAATCCACCTTTCAAACGACACCCATTTTGAAAAATCTGATTGGCGAGGCTTCTCTTTGACTTTTTTTGGTTGTTGATGTTTTGCAAAATTGCCGATGAGATAAATTGCATTTATCGTCCTCAAATGTTATTTAGGACCGACCTTGAGGAGATCCGAAACGATTTTTCTCAGACGTCACACAGACATCCAGCTTAGACTACCGCCGTTGATAACGGAAGTACACCGCGGCAGCAGGAAGACGCCTAACCTAAATACCCCGACAAAGCTCACCTCACACAAACTATGATCGATGGTGAATCCGAGTGGGCTCGTTAAATCTTTTTGACGACGTCAACATGTGAGAAAGTCGTTCCCGAAGTGAAAACGTGCGTAACCTTCTCTCTGTTTTTTGTTTATAATGAGACTTCAGGATGCTTGACTGGCTGTTGCGCGACTCGCCAATTAGGACAAGATTTATTTGAGAGGGAGACGTGGTTATTTATAGAGCTGATGTCAGCAGAAAGACCACCCTCCTGAAATCTTGAACAGCCATTTTGCATGAAACCAACCACAAAACTCGGGTTATTGAAGTTACATACATACCTTCATATTTTTTATTTAAGCTAATACAAACTTAAAAGAGCGACTGTACTTGCAGCTTAAAAACACAAAATCTCTCATGGCGACTTCCTGCGTTGCTGTTTATGGACACGTGAGTCGCTGAAATCAAAGATGTAACTTCCTCAGATGGTAATTTGAGGAAGTTGTTTAAAATTTTAATACCAGGAGTTTTCCTTTTCGAGTAACCGGCGTCATTGCTCCCGGGTTACCGTAAGGTTAATTACCCCCTAACAACATCCACATGCACATAGCCAGACAGGGGGGGATTGAAAATGATGGAGACGTAGCTTTAAAAAAAAAAAAAAAAAAAAAAAACCCCACCCCTACTGTATACCATCCAGTGCCACTACGCCCACTGTCACTCTGCTGAGCCAGCGGAGGCACTGCAGCACGTGACTTCTGACCCCGGAACGAAGCAGTCAGCGAAAGGTTATCGTTGTTGTGGTTTGAGCTCTTCAAGCGTGAGTGTGGATGAAGAAAGATGGACACAAGTGGAATATGGCCCTCCCGAACACCCTTTTTTTTCCAGTCTTTGTTTTTTTATTTTCTCGATCACATGGCCGTGGTAGGGAAGCAAACTGTGCCTGGTTGTTTACCGTGCTTATCAGTGGTGTCGTAACAAGTCGACGAGCACACTGACTTGGACGCAACGCATACACGTACGCGAAGAGGGAATCAGGCAAATGCAAGCGAAAGAAGATTGTGAGACTTTTTTTTTTTTCCTGCAAATGTGTTAGTATTTCACCAAGTGGAAAATAAGAAGAGACCCTCCGTTATTGAACCAGCGTTCTCCCTTATAATTTACGTCACGGCTGAGATTCGCCTCCGAATCTTTATCTTCTCCACAAAAACTATGCCCATCTCAAGGCAATGCACTGGCGCCATCTGAAGTGATCTGTCATTTTTGCCAAGATGATTTTCACAGACAAGCTGGGCGAGATCGTCTTCCAGGCCTACCCGTTGAAAAACGTACGCGACGTGTTCATTTGTGTTCAGTCGTTTCATGAAATGTTTTAAAAATTTATCTGTAAAATTTTTTGTTTTATTAATTTTGTATTTAATTTTTCATAAATAATTTTTAATTAAGTTTTTAATTATACATTAAAAACTTCAATTGATTTATTTATTATACTTAATGTATTAATAATTAAGTATAATTATTATGTATAAGTATAATTATTATATATATATATTTTCATGAGCTAATATAATGATGAAAATTGAATAAATACATTTTATTTATCTAATTTTAGGGAAAAAAAATATGATACAAATTGATGCAAAAAAAAAATCTTATAGGCTTCCTGATACCATGAATGCTTTAAAAAGAGTCGGTCGGGTGTGGCGAATAAGCCACGACCCTTTTTAACTCTCTTTCGAGCTCATCTGCCATATAAAAAAAGAGACTTGTCATGTACAGTCAAAATCCCTTTTCTGGAAAAAAATAAGTAACAGTCAATAGGTGCAAACGTAAGGCCCGACAAACAGGGGCTGATAAATACCAGCCATAAATTCCTGTATGATTTATGACCTCATCATCTCCGCACTTAGCACAAGTCAGCTTTTCACGCACCGTTGGGGTAATAGTCCTCGCGATTGGCCGTGTTAAAGGCAACTTGAGCGTGCTATTGCCGCCTGCCGTCTCGCTGTGTGTTCTTTTTTTTTTTTTTTTTTGATTTTCCGTCCGCGTTTGTGTGTGTGTGTGTGTGTGTGTGTGAGCGTGCATATATACACCCACACGTAAACATGTATATATGCACAGCAACTCCCGCACTCAGACGCCGCTCGAGACCAAGCCAGCGCCACATCAGTCCATCATCACAGATACGGCTCGCGGTTAGATAGCAGGCCTGGCGGCACACAAGACATTTTGTCCACTCTGTCATGTTTACTTACAATGATAAGCTTTGATGGATTCTCAGTCGGGCTCTAGACGACACACACAGACAGACACACACACACACATGCGCATGCAGAGGGACAACAACAATAGGTGGTGTCCAGAAATGTCGTGTTTGCAAAGGCAGGATTGCCTCAAGATGCCTTGAAACCAATGAAAAGAGCAAACCTTTCGCATCGGTGATGCCACACTCCAAAGCAAAACTCCCCATGAGGACTTAAAAGTGAAGTTCAAAGTTTGGCTGGATTGAATCAAGACTGCTGAGCTGTCCAATAAAGGGAGGAGATGTGTTTAGTACCAAGTCGTATTGGGGCCACAGTGAAAAAAGGGAAGACAATTTTTTTTTTAAAAAAGCATTCCAAGAATAAAGTGACGAGCTTTGGTGAGTTTGGGGTTTAAAATGAGATCAGTCACGTGAATAAACAAAAAACGTTCCTCAAAAGTTGCCATCATGACAGGGTTTTATTCTTGTAAAATGAGCATTTTTAAACATTTTGTGTCATTTTTATGACATTTATTATATAAAATATATCAGAAATGATGCAAATGCAAGAAACCAACATTTAAATGCAATAATAGCAAATACTGTATGTAAAGGAGAAAACGACCAAAATGAGGCCAGTAGAATACTTTTCATTCGAAATTTTTTTTAATTCTTACTTGACTGATGTCTACTTTTAGTTATCAAAAATAAAACATTTGAAAAAAAAAACACAGCATTAAAATTCAAAACAATATCAGTTCAAAAATTTATTTTTTTACTTTCATGACAAGACGTCAGTTTTACCCAATGC